TTCGGTTCGGTTCGAACATTTTGCCCAGCCCTAGCCATAACTATGCACAATTCAAAAATCAGGTTTCAAGTTTAATTAATGCAAAAATCAAGTATTTATATATTAATTAAATATATTTTATTAATTAAATATAAAATCACAATTATATAATTAATGGTCACAGGTACATAATCATAGCTCACAACTTATTTAATGATCACATATTAAATAATTAATTGGTCACAGATTAATTCGAGATCACAAATCAAAAATTTTATAGGTCACAGATAAAAAAATTATAGGTCACAATTTATCGATCAGTCACATATTTTCAAATTTGTTGGTCACAAATTATCGAATTTTAAGGTCACAGTTAAACAGTTGGTCACAGGTAACCAAATAGTGGGTCCCGTACGACCACCACTTACGTCGCCGCCTACACAACACCACTACCACCACCACAACATCACCACCAACAAAATCGCCGCCACCAGATCCAATCGACCGCTAACAAAAAACATGACAATCAACTCTATCAAATCACCAGCCACCAACAACCACCACCCCGTCGCAGCCACCAGATCCAACGTCACCACCGCCACAACAGCACCAGCACCAACACCACAACATCACCACCAACAAAACGATCACCACCACCAGATCCAACAAAAAAAATCTTACACCCGCCACCACCTCCATCCCCGTCCCCACCACCATCCATGTCGCCAACAACAACAAAGACATCACCACAACACACCCACGACAAGCCCGCCACCACCTCCAACCCCGTCGTCGCCGCCAGCTAAGCCACCACCCCACCAACAAAATCATCAAGTCCGCCACCACACAAACACCATCCCACCTCCACACAAAACACCATCCAACGATCAAAACCAAAAAAAAAAAACCAAGCAGAGCCACGGGCAGCGACGTTCATAGCGTCGCCATCTCCAAGTCGTACCACCGCCGCTACCGTGCAAACTATGGGCCACTGAAAATCGTCGAAAAAAGCCACAAATCGGAGAAGATTTCAGATCGTCGCCCATGCACTTCCGTGCACAGATGCTCTGATCTCTTCATTAAGCAGCACGGTGCTACTTAAGTGGTGGCGATGGCGCGGTTCCCGCGGCGGGTGCTCCGACGACGGCAGGGAGACGTCTGACGGAGAGGAATGCATGAGAAGGAGATAAAGAAAATGGAGAGTGAGAAGAATGAAATAAAATTAGGGTTTGTAATTGAATTGGGTGAAAATATTTAATATATAATTATTATGTAATACCTGCTTTTTGATTAAATAAAGTTTAGATCTGATTTTTGAATTTCTAAATTTAAATGTATGGTTTTATGTTATGTAATTTCCTCATCTTTTAACATCTTTACGTTTCCTTGTCCAAATAATGTACTCTACTTGATCTTAACATGCTTTCATAGGTGGGGAAATTCTTTTTAACTTATAAATAAGTGTAGGTTGAACACTTCAATTTTTATTCTGCCAACTCACGAGCTACTTAATTAAAATATGTGTTGCAATAATGTGCAAACTTGAAACTTATGCTCTTATTCATTTTTTTTAAGGGTTTGTTGGCATGATTGTGACAAAACTTATTTTAATTCTTTGTCCTTTTCTAATACAATGTAGATAATGTATCACATCTTAGATATATTTGTAGGAGATTTTACATCGATAATGTGCATATTATATTTATCAAGAACATGACGTTAATATGGGTCAAAAATTGACTCCGGCGATGGAGAGCAATGGCGAATCGAGTGACATCAGAGGAAGGCATGAGAAGAAGATGGGGAGGGAGAGTGAGAGTGAGAGTGAGAAGAAATAAATAAAATTAGGGTTTGTAATTGAATTGGGTGAAAATATTTAATATATAATTATTATGTAATACCTGAGTTTTTATTAAATAAAGTTTAGATCTGATTTTTGAATTTGTAAACTTAAATGCCTGGTTTTATGTAATTCCTCTTATTCCAAAACATTATTTGCTACAATAAGATTCTCCACCATACATTCACCCAATAAAATATTCTACAAACAAATCAATAAAATTACTTTAAATTTCAACTACACATTCTCCAAAAAATACTATTCATTACTCCATTTCTTCTACAATAATGAGAGACAGACACACACTAAGAATTTTTCCAAGTACCATCATCACACAGCTAGCTACTGAGACAAAAAGCAAGAAAATAAAGCCATGTTTGGTATGAAGTATAATCTAGATTTTTGTTCGTTGAAAACCCGCAAGCGTACGGAATCGTTGACAAGTAATAGAATTGATGAGTTACGAATTATCGTCCCACATGAAATAACTTTCAATCAAGAGTATTAGTTCTTATTCAGATTCAAAGTAAGCAACAAAATAGAATCTTGGTTGTTAACTATTCTAAATTATTCTAAGAAAGCCTGTAAAATTCGAGTTTTGTGTTTCTATGGGATGAATGTATTGGATTACGAATCCACCTATTATTATCTATTCCAATTCTCAATTATGTAGTTAACATCATTCATGCATTCTTGACAATTAATAAATCTATTGTAATTAATTCTCTTTTTCAAGACAAATTAAATTTATTCTAATCACGACCCGAATTTATTTCTAGTCCGAATTCGAATGAATAGAACGCATTAAAGTTTAGAATATCTCAAAAATTGCACACGTGATAAATATTATTCCTAATATCTATTGCAAGTATATTAATCAAACAATGTTCTAAACCTATTGTGAGCCTCCCAGCACTACAACAAGCAACCATATATTTAATTGGTGATCAAGCAATCAAATAATACAATTACGCATGCAAGATTAATCAAGAAAAATATGAATTTAACTAACTACTTGTTTTAAATTAAAAATTAATAATAAAATATTTCATTTTCATCGAATACATGAAAATAATTATCCTAACATGTTGTTATGTAAATTACATAGAAAGATTTGGAAAAAAAATCACCCGGAACGAAAAACAATGATTGAAAAGTGAAAAATCAATTTCTTCTTCGTTAATCTTCAACCCGGACTTTGAATCTTCAATCTCTTGTATTAATTGTCTTTGAATCTTGT